AGCGCCGTCCGAGCCCTGTGGGTGCCCGGCCAGGAGCCCGTCGGTCTCCAGCGGGTCCCGCCCGTCCCCCTCCGAGTGCACGCTGGGGGTCTCCAGGAATTCCTTGTCGCTCCACGCTCCCACCGGGCCGTCCAGGGCCTGGTAGCGGATCTCGATGGAGATGCTGGTCTGGGGGACACGCGTGGGGGGCGGGGGGGACACGGTCAGGGCAGGGAGGGAGGGAGGGTCGGGGGAAATCCAGGAGGGGCTGTCCCATCCCAAAGTCTCTCCCGTTCCCTCGTCCCTGGGGTTCTGGAGAGCCCGGGCTGTGGGTAGGGAGGGGCCTGACCCAGCTCGGGGACGGCGTTCCCTGGAATTTCGGCTGCATCCCGGGCACGGGGGGCGTGGAGAGCCGCGAGCGGCAGGAAAATCCTCGGGGCGGCCGGGCTGGGGATTCCAGAGGCGGGGATTTGCGGTGTTCCCGGTGTTCCCGCCTGGCCCCGCAGCCCCGGGCAGGGCAGGACCATCCCAGCAAGGGACACCCTTGGAGAGGGGGGGATCAGCCCTGGATTGGGGACAGGGAGGGGCCGGGGGGGTCCCCGAGGGATCGGGGCTGACCGAGTTTGAGCTTTCCTGTGGATCCCGGAATCCCAGGGTGGTTTGGGTGAGAAAATCATGGAATTCCACGCATTCCACGGACAGGGACACCTCCCGCTATCCCAGGGGGATCCAACCCGGCCTGGGACACTGCAGGGATCATCCAGGGGCAGCCACAGCTTCCCTGGGAATTCCAGCCCAGCCGGGAATCCCTTCCCAATCTCCCAATTTCCCATTCCCAATCCAAACCCTCTTGGATGAGCCAATCCAGAGCAAGTTCCTCCCATTTTCCCATGGTCTTTCCCCACCCTTTTCACCCCCAGGGCTGCCCCAGACCCTGCAGGGTCGGGCTTTTCCCCAAACTGTTGGGTTTTTTTGTCCTTTCCAAGCCTTTTTTTCCCCTCCCCTTCTAAAATCTCCCTCTGGATTCCAAATGAAATCAGAGTCCCCATCTCTGCCAAGAGCCCCCTGGAATGGCAGCACCTCCAGCCCTGGAGGCCAAAACCTTTCAGAAAACACAGATTTGGGCAAAAAAAAAAAAAAAAAACCCACCCCTCTCTCCTACAGAGATGTTTTTGAGAAGCAGAAGCTGCTGCAGAGGTGGAGGGAGAGGCAAAAGGCGGCTCTGCACCTCCACTTGGCTCCCACGGAGAAATTATCCATCATTTTCCATTGATTTCAGGCCCAGGGACGAGACAGGGAGGGTGAGAACAGCGGGGGAGGGGGGAACTGAACACGAGAAACCTTCCCTTTCTTGTGTGTTTGTGTTTTCCACGGCAGAAACACGAAAGGGGGTGGGAAAAAAAACCACAGCAAAACCCAAATGGGAGTTTAAATCCTTTAAAGACACGAAAAACGGGGGGTGTATGGAGGTGAAAAAAATCTCATTTTCAAAGTCTCTTTAGGAGCTCAAAAATCGTTTAAAGACCCAAAAAATTGGGGGTGTATGGAGGTGAAAAATCTCATTTTCAAACCCGGTTTAGGAGCTCAAAAATCCTTTAAAGACACGAAAAAAAACCACAAAACCCACGGGCTGGGAATGAAGTGAAAGGTTTCGGGTTGGGCTGAACGGGATGGCCCCTTTGAAGGGAAGTTTGCAGGTGGGAGCTGAAAAAAGGAGGAATTCCCGCTGGGAATGCTGAACTGGGGAGGGAAGTGGAGGAGCTGGAAGGTGCAGCCTCATTCCAGCTGCAATCCAGGTGTTCCCGCAGCAATGCCGCTCTGGAATGGCCCCATTCCAGCTCTAATCCCGGTGTTCCCAGAGCTCTCCCGCTCTGGAATGGCTCCATTCCAACTCTAATCCCGGTGTTCCCACAGCAATCCCACTCTGGAATGGCCCCATCCCATTCCTAAACCTCCCGATCCCGATGGATCCCCCCCATCCCTCTCATCCTCATCCCACTCCTGAAGCCCCAATCCCGA